GAACAGTTTTCATTGTTAGCTGTGTTGAAGAAGTTAATTCAATGCATTAAATTTTAATTTTGTTGATGGTTAAGAACAGAACCGGCTTGTGGTTTTTTTTCAAATTGAGTTAATTTTTTAAAAACTTATTGAATCATTCTAATGTATTGAATTTTAATCTGTATTCATTGAACAAGAAAAAGAATTCTAGATATCGTATTTTTTTACTTATAGTCATTCAACATATCACTTTTGATAATAATAATAACATTCCACATACAATAAATAATGAAACTGTCGCAATTGCCGATGGAGATACTAATCTTTCACGTATTTGTTTTAAAGAAAAGGAAGAATGTAGACCATCTGATTCACAATTAAATACAAGCGAGTGATCTATGATTGAAATTACAAAACAAAAGACTCCAGAATAGAATTACTCTTTTTTTTCTCTATTGTTGTATATTCAATATGAAAACAAAACATGTTCAACACGATGTTTGATTATTTTTAATGGGCAAAATGTTCATAAATACGATTGAAGATTAACAAAAGGATAAAATTCAAATGTTTAAACTTTTTTCATTTCATACAAATTCTTCTAAAGAGTTAAACGCATAATTTTAATTTCTACTTATAACTAATTTTGTAAGTTAGAAAAATGTGTTTCGTAGAACAAATAAAAACAATTGTTCTTAAAATCTTGATTGTTTCTAGACGTTATATTCATTTGTCTTTGATTTCAAGTATTCAAGAAGTCTTTTTTTCTTATCCCGTAACTTATAAAAGAATGTTTACAAGACATTGAAAATTTTTATACAAATATTATTTTCCATATTTTATTCTCGATGTATCTTAAATATCTTGTCAATGTTCACTTATGTTAACCAATGTTGTTTTGTACTTTGTTTAATTCGATCATCACTTACAATAGTTTCAGACAATTCTACATTACCTTCATCACCTATACGCATTTGTATCGTAGGCAGTGGTCCATTTGGTTTTTATTTAGCACAAAATTTACCTATGCTTCATTACACAATACGGGGAATAGAGTTGAAAGCGGACAGTTTTTTCTGTCCAGTCCGGTTCAGCCAGCAATCGGCCAGATGAGCTTTACCGTCAAACCGATCAAAATCCAGCGAAAATAATCGATTATAAAAGTATCTGTTTATATAAAATGGTGGTGAAGAGGAATGAGCGTTGACTTTCGAGCCAGATGCCGATATAAATTAGCTATTCAGATCAAATCTGTTTTTTTCATCTTTATTTCAAAAAAGAAAACAACAGTAAGTTCATAATAAACCGAACACAAAAATGTAAATATTTATTTTTCTTGATTTAGGCAGCTGCCTAAATAGAACAAGGAAATGAATCATTTGATCTAGATTGAACTGAACGACATACGAGAAAGAAATCGATAGAGGTATAAAGAAAACAATTAATCATTTATAGTCAAGTCGAAGACAAGATATCTATTCAGTCTTTCACAACTGAACTAGGCAACATCTTCTTAATGTAATCCTCTTTGAGAACCATAAACACTGTTCACAATCGGCAATAGAGACACCAGAAGGAAGTAATGATCAGAACAATGATTTTTCAGTGGGTGCGAATGAGTAATAACTAATTGAACGATGAGTGTGAAGAAGGAGGAGGCTGTGCTTTTTTTTCTTTTTTCTTTTTTCTTTTACCTTACCCTTCTCCAATTAAAACTGCAATCTCATTACGATCAAAAGTAACTGTCATTAAGATCAAAGCACTGCATATGCTCTTACTTGCACCAACGTCACTGCCGCGCGTCTCTACGTCGTTCCATTTATCGTTATGATATGTTTTCTCGACATATTGTTTGTGTTTATATAGAAACTCCTAGTCGATATTTTCTATATCGATTGATCATAGACTGACCAATTTCGAGAAGTCTGACGAAAAATCCATATGTTCAATACCATTAATTAATTTTTCACACTTATCACATTGATCACTACGGGTATCAACAAATTTGCATGCTACATCTGAACATGTACTAGCTACATAACGATCTGTAAAAAAACTTCAAATACATCAATATATAAAAAATTAGGAAAAAGTATGCAAGCAAATTCTATACCGTTGACATGTGTCATAATATAATTGTTCGATGTTATTATTAAAAATGAGATTTCGTTTATATAATTCTGAAAAATATCCTGAGCGATTCTAAAATAGATAGTCCAATGAATTATAAAGAACAGGTACTTTTCTTTCTAATATAAAAATCTTACTCAATTTATTTTTGTGTTGAAATTCGTCCAAAAAACATTAAAGTCTAATTAAAACGATCTATTTTTTTTTAATGTAAATCAAATATTTATCGCAAGTTAAGTGTTGTAGCTTTTCAGCTGACAATACCTTAAATTTAATATTAACAGTGAAAAAATGAATAAGAAATTGTTTGATTTTATTGAGCAAGAAAACATCAACACTTATTAAAGATCTAATAAAAGAATATCAAAATGAGGTGCATCGTTGACATAAGATGAAGCATTTGTGATCATAATATTTCGAACATCAGGTTTTGGTGTTCTATGAACAAAAAAATAATAATCAAACTGCTAGTGCACTTGGTGACGGATTAAAGTGTGAAACATGATGTAGCTGCTGGTGCTAATCACAAGAAGATTGTTTTATTCAGTCTAATTTAAAAGGGATTTCTTCATCATTCTGTTACTTGGTGCTCCAGAAATGCAATAAAGAAGTAATTAACTAAACGGTATTGAGACACAGTCTTTGATCGTATATTAACATGGCCTGTTATTGTCTCTGATAAAACAGAGAGAGGTGCAACTAAAAGAGTTCGTCATCAGGATTAGTAGGCTCGAAGATATTAACGTAACCACTTGAATGAAGATTTGTGAAAAAGTCAAAATGTCCAAAACCAGATTTCTCGTATCTATTCGAAGGTTTTGAGAAAAATTCTTATTGTATAGAGCGCAATGAGACGTCTCCGATCTCTCCATGAACTTCCTTCATCGAATTGTCTTTCTGACTCTCCGTAAATTGAAAACAGATCGATGAAGGAAGTACCTGGAGAGTTCGATGACGTCCTATTTTGCTCTATCAAAGAAAAATTTTTTCGAAGATCTTAATTTCAGCAGTTCTGTTGAAGTCTTTGGATCTGCTACTGCTAATAGAGAATTGTTTTAGCTACACAAATGTTTTATATTTCAACAATAGATGAATAATTTCTTACATGTTTTTATTCGATTTTGATTTATTGAATGTCGATATTGCCTTTGATCATTGATCCAAATCTTTCTCAACTTCTTCTGGCGATTCAGGAAAATCAATTTCTTCTATGGATGTCATTATCTGAAGAAAGGTTGTCTAGAAAATATATTTTATTTTTATGTCATTTTATATTGTGATTTCAAAATGATATGATGCAATACAAAATATGAGTCATTCATTTATCGTAAAATTGCATTATTTTCTTCTTTCTATTATCAGTTCTTATTTTAGATTACATCTAATCAATACACATAGGACAAAAAAAGATAACATACTACGATCCAAAACAGTATTCTACAAGATTATTCCGAAAACTTGGTTAATTATCGAAAAGAAACAAAAAATAATAATAACATGTCAAGTTTTCTGTTTTGAGTAAAACAAAGATACTGATTTCTTTATCAGTTAATACATTCATTGTAAAAGTATAGAAATCAAATGGAAAAAACTAAAGGTAATATTCAACGAACTTACGTTCTTGAATGGATTGCATAAATAACGAAGAATTCAAATGATGAACAGTTTTCATGAACAAATCCTAAAGAAAACAAATAGATGAATGAATTCGGAATTGAAAAAAATATTGTTAAATTCTTTTGGAAAATAGACCATATCAATCAAAACAGAGCAAACAAAAATTCAATCTGAAGTAACAATATACTTTTCAAATGAGACGGTGTTCATTTGATGAGTAATAGAAAAGTTTAGAATAGTTTTGCTTTTCGGGCCTTCGTTGTTTTTCAACGGAAATCTGTAGTCCTACTCAGGTCACGTGAAAAATCGACTTTCAAAATTAAATTTTGCATGAACATGAGAATAATTCTTTTGGTAAATTGTAAATTTTCTAGTTTTTTTTCTATCCTGTGATATTGAATAATCGAAATTTTTCTTTATTACCGAATCTCGTTAAGAACTTTGTTCAGGCAAAGTTTGAAGTCGAAATTCTATTTTGTAGATGACTTAAGCTGAATTACGTGTTTTTATGCTGAAACATCCAGTAAAATCTCAATATGTGAAGAACGAAGGTTCGGAACAACCATATTTCGTCAGTCAATTTTTCATATTCTCATCTGACGATTGTCCTTTGATAGATGGGAAAAGTTCGTGATAAGATTTTATTTAAAAATTGATCTCGTCTTTTTAACATCTAAACTAAAAAGCAAGAAAAATTTTGATGATGTGTTGAATAATATTCAATGATGAACTTTGTTGAGGAATAACATTGAACATCTAATTATATCCTACTTTTGGAGATTGCGACTGTTCAAAATGAGGAAAAAGTTTCACTTTTCTTCGAGAATATCAAAACATTTGGAGTTCTTTTCTCGAAGAGTACTAAGATTTTTCTTGAGATAAGTACCAAGTACTTTCTTGCACCAAAACTATTATACTAAATTTAGCATACAAATGACATTGAAGAAAAACGAAAGATTCCCACAAGTACTTTACACTAATTTTTCTGATACAGGTATTTATTTCAGCATGACTTCTACTGTAAAGTGTTATAATAAAATATTCCTTCCTGTTTTGGATATTTATTAAGGAAAACAATAAATTTCGAAAATATGTGTTCATGAGTTATTTCTAATTTAAACATACCATAATAGAAGTAGATGTTTGAAACAACTCCAAACTGAAATCGATACAAAAATTTCATTTGGCTCATTTTTTCCTTTTTCAACTCAAAACCTAACTTTATAGCATGAAGTTAGTTGTACAGAATTTCTTATCTAATTATATATTTACATAGCAGAAGAAAGAATGAAAATCTGTTGCATCATCAATTTAAACACGTTAAGAATGATGAAAATATTGATTTTGTTTAGTACAAACATCAATTAATGCAAGCTTAATTCACCACTACATAAAGGAATAATTAGTGTCAAAGTTTCTGTATCCTGCGTTATCTTGATAACTTTAGAGATGATTATTGAATTGTTCATCTATGAAATTTGTATTTGAGCTTCAATACAGTTAGTTTTTGAATTACTTTAAAAGTAATTTAGTAGAAGTAACTTTTATTTTCCTTGTAGCTATGCTTATTAAACCTAACAATAATTCTTATTTAGTTTATTTTTTCTCATGATTTAATATATCACTACAGTCAAAACAACGAAAAAAA